CACTGGTAGGCGGTAGATTTCCTCGATTGTCAGTTTTTTGGCCACAGGAGGGAGGTCAGCAACCGTCTGACATAGTGATGGAGCTCGTCTGCTGTGACTGCTGTGACGTTGTCCCTGCTGAGCCTGGAAGCGCTCCTTCTGCAACGGGTGAATGACAACCCTCCCCAGGCTCCACCCAAGGCCTTAACCCACATGCCAGCTATGGGCCGCCGCTCGCAGAAGACGGCAGCAGCGGAGCATAGAGATATAGCCCCAAACCGCACCCACGGAGACCACGCGGCCCGCCACCAGTACAAGGCCCAATGCCTACACTCACCCAAACGAGCAAACAGGGGCTGCAGGGCCGATGGACACACACCTGCAACCATCCGAAGCTCCCACCGACTCCATACCAACGACCAGACAAGATTTAAAGGTCCTGTTGGTGGACTTTCAGAAAATACTTTCTGCTGAACTAGCTCCAATAAAAAACGATATGAGGGCCATCACAGACCAGGTACAGGCCTCGAAGAGGGACATCGCACATGTCCAAACACAGATGCATGAACTCCAGTCCTCGGTTCAACAAGTCGGGTCCCATTAAAGAGCCCTCTCCACACAAATCACAGCAATGGAAGATCGCCACTGCCGCACCAATGTAAAGTTTACTCCTGAATGGAATAAAAACCACATTGATGATTTGGAAGTAACTCTTTTTGTTGAACAAGAAATAATTAAAACAAAATGTTGTTTTAAAAAAACGATGGAAACAGCTATGTATATTATGAAAGCTGTCACCATCGACCATGGTTAAAAAGAATGGCCAAAAGTCAAGTAATGAGACTAAGGCGCAATTGTTGAGACATCCGGGATTTTAAAACACAGGCGGGTTTCCAACCATGTGTGTAACTTCCTGTACCTATGTGTTTCTGCCTGATCCTGTGTATGTGACTATCTGCCTGTGCATGTGGTGGATTTGACAGTGTATATTTATAACTGTGTGCATCTGACTGTGGGATTGTGTGCACATAACTCTGGAAAAATATACACCTGCATTCACTCTCCAGGGTCGGTCTTAGGGGTGTGCGAGGTGTGCGGCCGCAGAGGGGGCCATGGAGCAGGGGGCGCCATGCACATCTCACACATGGCCAGCCAGGATTTAAAAAAATAAAAAATAAATTTGCGGTGGGGGTGGAGCTTTATCACACAGGGCGCCTAAATGCCTAAGGCCGACCCTGAGCGTCTCATGCGCAGTCTTCGTGCAGGAGAATGCAAATTGTCTGCCAGTATTTTCTAAGAACATGCTGCTTTCAACTTGCCATCAATTTTCATAAGATTCCCCGCGCCTTTAGAGCTCACACACTCCCAAAACATCAGTAAGCCATCACCATGGAACAAGAATACCAGTGGTGATGGTATTCTTTTCACTATAGGCCTTGTTGCTCCCTCTCCAAACATAGCGAACAATTCTTCTGGCAGTTGTGGCTGAAATTGTTCTTGGTTTACCTGACCTTGGCTTGGTATCAAGAGATCCCCAAATGTTCTACCTCTTAATAAATGATTGAATAGTACTGATTGGTATTTTCAAGGCTTTGGATAACTTTTATATCCTTTTCCATCTTCACAAAGTGCCATTACCTTGTTACGCAGGTTCTTTTCTACTTCCCATTGACTATTTATACACAGACATCAATTTAAAAAGTCACAGGTGGGGGATATTAAACATTAATTGTCATTTTAACCTGTGTGTGTCACCATGTGTGTCTGTAACAAGGAACACATTCAAGGGTATGTAAACATTTAATCAGGGTCATTTAAGTGATTTCTTTAGATTTCATTAGATTTTTAAAAAGGAGCCAAACAACTACTGAATGTGGTAATAAATGGCTTCATATTATCACTATCCTTCAATGAAAGACATTTTTTGCATGATCAGTCATATTTTCAAAATCAATGCCATAATTTCACAATTTCTGCCAGGGTATGCAAACTTTTGAGCACAACTGTATGTGACCCATTCAGATATTATCCAACTTGTGGCTGGATGATTTTATAGCATTTTATATGAACCTATACATTTAATACTACTGACAGAAAAGGGAACAGAAAGCATATTGAAACCTACTCATATGATCCATCCGGCCAGAGCCATATCAAAGAGTTAGTCTGGGAGTCCCACCTCCGTGTCAGTCCGATCCAATATACAGAATGCAAGCTCCTTATATTATCCTAATAGATCAGGAAATATATTCAGAATAGATTTACAGAGAAAAGGACATAGAAAACATTGCACTCATTGAATGAATTCAGTATTAGAAACACTAATCTAAACTAGTCCATCTGGTGTAACGTGTTAATCTGATATTATTCCTAAGGAATCGAAGGGGGTGAGTTTTATCCCCTATCAATGACTGGAGTTTTTTCTTGTGCTGTAATGACTGAATTAATAGGTGTTTTTGCAGTTTCTTATATACTTTATAATTATATTATTTCCCGTTCTTTACGTGTAATAAAATTTTTCATATAATCAGAAAACACAACCTGTAACAGTCTGCACATCATATCGTCACCAAAAAATCTATATCCATGCATAGGTTTTCATTGCTTTTACATGATTGGTGTTGGATTTTAATCGTTTTGCTGGTTACATATTAAAAGGAACTGTGACAGAACCATCTGTCTGCTTGGATTTTTACTGCATTCGTCTGTTTGTCTCCCGTTCGTATGAATGGCTGGTTTCTATAGCCCAGCCATTCGAATGACTCTTTTTTCCCGAACAAACCTGCCGAACGAACGGCCACCCAAGAGAGGAGTGTGCTGCTGGTTAACGTAGTGATCCCAATTAGAACGTTGTGGTTAACCGCAGACACTTCTCAATTACACCGAATTCAGGGTGGTCGTCGTTCGTATGTCGACCATGAGACAGCGGCCATTTTAAATCAAGCGAACGCCCAGCGGTGTTTGGCTCTATTTCTATGGAACTAAAAACGGACGCTTTTTCTGCCGAACACCACTGAAACAATGGAACGCCTAGCTGCCTCCACGAAAGCATGCGAACACCGGCCGTTCGGAAGATTTAGAGCATACGAAAAGACTTAACCCAGATAGCCTTCCCATGGAGTCATTCGTATACCGAAAGACTGTAAGAACTTTGACTCCATGGCGATTGAACTATGGGTGTGGGATCTGAGCGCTATTCGCTAATAATATGCACTCAGATCCAGGCTATCTGGGGACATTTAACACGAATGGGAAATGTTCAGTTTTTATGTAGTTATATATTTTTATGTCTTTTATTATTTTATGTCTAAGATGGCGATTGGCTTTGTCCTGGAGTTAATTGAGTTACTTGGTAATTAACTCCAGGGCAGAGGGGAGGGAATCATAATGCACTGTGGGTAAAATCTGTGACTGTGTGTCTGGAATGTCCCCATATCTGTCTGTCATTTAAGTCTCTCATTTGGTCCCCTAGGGGAGTGTCCACCAAGTGGGAGACCTGCATAAATACGGGCAGGTAGCCCACAGTAAAGCCAGATCCTGTTTGACCCTCAATGCGGAGCTTCTGTCTCGTTATTGGGGGGATTTCTTCTTCACGTTTAGAGACTGCTGGATGGAACGAAAGCCGCTTGGTGAATATTGCTGTTCGACGGGTGCCAGCAGTTCGTGTATTGCCGTTCGGGAGTTTGGAGCCGTTCACGGATCTCGTTCGGGAGATTGCCGCTTCCCCTGCATTTGGTTCGTGTATTACAGATTAAGCGAACAGAGACTGTACTGCAGCCGGGGAAGGTCTACTAAACGGCGGTTTTGCCTAAAGACACTGGAGGTGTCTTAACAATTGGTGGCAAGCGACGGGATGAATCCCACAGCATTGGAGGTCAGCTACAAGACATGCAGTACGAGGAATTAAGGCGTGCTACACTTAAGGACATATTGGAACGCCGAGGAAGGTCAGCAAGCAATTTAAAGAAACGGGAGATTATTGCTTTGCTACTGGAGATGGATGCAGCAACGGGAATGGAGAGAGTCAATGTGCCCAGTACCTTGGATTTAACACCCGAGGAATTACAATTTAACCGGGCAGTGCAAATAAGGCTGGCACATTTTGGCCCCAACCCCTCAGCTGACATCGTGGAGCGTGTGCAGGCAGCAGTAGCAGCACAACAGGCGCTCTGGCAAAGAGGAGCCGCAGCAGCAGAGGTACCCTACAATAATAATGTTTTTGCTAGAAAGAAGGTACCTTTTGCTGCATTTAAAAATTTTGTGGAAACCGAGAGAGAGATTGATGGGTTCCTAGCGGACTTCGAGAGGCAGTGTGCTCTACATCAGGTACCTGCAGATGAATGGGTCACCATCCTCTCTGGGAAATTATCTGGCCGGGCTAGTGAGGCGTTTCGGGGCATCCCAGAGGAGGAGATCACCAGCTACCGGGCTGTGAAAGATGCGCTCCTAGCCAGGTATGCGGTGACCCCAGAAGCGTACAGGCGGAGGTTTAGAGAAACCAATAAGCTGGTTGGGGACTCTTATGTGGAGTGGGCCTGCAGAGTCCATCGTACCGCAGCCCACTGGATGGCAGGATGCCAAGCGGTAACTGGGGAAGAGGTGTTACAAGTGTTCCTGCTGGAGCACTGTTTTGATAGACTACCTGCTGGGGTCCGGGAGTGGGTCAGAGATAGAAAACCCTCTACCCTACCCGAGGCTGCTCGTCTGGCAGACGAATACACGGATGCCCGCAAGTTGGATGGTACAGCTGCCAAAGCCCCTGCCAGACTGGAGTATCGTCCAGCAGTAATACCCGCTCCTTCAGTCTACCAGCCCCCAGTACACCGTAACCCAGCCGCACCGCCAGGTAACAATTTTGTACAGCCATCACGATTTAATGCCCGGGATTATTCCCAACCCATCCGGTGCTTTGGGTGCAAGCAGTTGGGGCACAAGCATCCTGAGTGCCCACTGAACAGTGCCAACCAAGCCCAGTCCTGGAGGAGACCAGCCAACGGGAACCAGCGGCCACCTCAGCCTGCTGCTCACTGCATAGAGCAGGAGGAGTTCTGGGGCATCCTACACGAGGCAGACCCAGTGCAAGCAGCTCACCAGGATAATCGCCAGCAACATTGACAAACCGTGAACCTGAATGGCAGAGTGGTAACTGGGTTGAGAGACACAGGAGCCATGATGACACTACTCCAAAAGAACTTGGTCTCAGAGCATCAGCACACTGGGGACACTGTGGCAGTAAGGGTAGCAGGGGGTGCTGTGTTTCGCTTACCTGTTGCCCGGGTACATTTGGACTGGGGAGTGGGCGCTAGACATGTGGATGTGGGGGTGATGAAAGACTTGCCCGCAGATATTCTTCTGGGAAACGATTTGGCCCCTTTGGTTTCAGCCTATGCTCCGATGGGCCCTGCAGATGTGAACCCAGTGACCACCCGTGCCCAGACCCGTGCTGCCGGAACCAGCCCACCTGCTGATGAGACCCAGGTAAGATCTCCTTCCCCGACTGGTACCCCAGATCAGGTCCCCTTAAGCTGGGATTCCCCAGAGGAGTTTGGGAGGGAAACCCGGGCAGATCCGACCCTCCAAAAGTACAAAGACAGGGCAGATGCTGGAGAGGAAGGAAT